TCCAGTGATCTTGTAGCATTAAAATCTCCACCAATGCACTAGTTACCCCTATTACTAGAAATTAGACTATCAATTTCATCCCACAACTATCTCTTGTCCAAACTTGCACACGGAGAGTATATGTTAACCACACAACAGGGCACTGCATTAGGCCCCCAAAATCCCATAACACCCAAAAAACTATCACCCTCCAATTGTTTTTCCATCTTAAACACCTCCTTATTCCAAATACAGAATAAACCTCCAGATCTTCCCTTAGATACTTTAGCAACCCACTCAAAATTGTCCTTCCCCCAAATTTCTCTACATACTCTTCTATCTACGACCTCTAATTTTGTTTCTTGAATAAGTAAAAACTCCACCCTCTCATTTCTTACAAGATTTCTAATCTCCCTATTTTCCCCCACCTCTCAATCCTCCAACGTTGTAAGACAATAAAATCATTTTGCCTTACCTTCCCCAACTTCACCATGCATCCTGTTGCTTGCAGTCGTCTTGCACCGTTGCCTATCTCTTAATTCCATCTACTCCAATTTCTTCAAAATCTCATCCTCTCATTCAGTAGCCACCACCCCAATTGACTTTGCAAATTCCCATATTTCCTTGGCCCCAAAAAGCTTCTCCTTAGCCAAAATCCCTTTGTTGCAATTGTTAATGTTGCTGTCTTCCAATGATTCCCCAGCTACATGGTTACTTGAAGTTGGGAAAAATTCGGGTATTTCTAGGTTCGGGGCTATCTTCTTCCTCGATCTTTTATGATTCCTCTTTCTTGTTCTTGATTGAATCACCTTGGCATCCTTGTAAACTACAGCACACGATCTTGCTTTTCTGCTCCTCTTTTTTGCTTCCCTTCTTTCGCCTTCTCTCATCCATTCATATTGCTCCCGAATGGCTATCAATATTTTTCCAAAAAGCACCATGTTGATTTTCTGCATCAGTTCCTTCGAATAACTTATTCTACCCGGTGTGCTTTGAAACCTCATCCACTGCCTATTCCTTATCTCTTTGGCCCAACTCATGATCTTGGGTTTCTTGTACCCTTTCATGGTCCGAAACATGAACTGCATCACCATTGGGCTTTGTTGAAATCAGCCCAATTGATGAGCCCACCCTCTTTTCATTCATAGCATTCTCGTTGTCCTGCATAGGGGTGGCAATTTCCCCCGATCCCCGCGTGGCTCCGCGGGGATCCCCGTCACGGGGATGGGGCGGGGAGGAATATTCCTCCCTACGGGGTGGGGATGGGGGGCATTTCCTCCCCGTGAAATTTCGCAGGGAATTTTCCCTGCCCCGCACGGCCCCGCGGGGATCCCCATCCCCGTGAAAATTTAAAAAAAAATTTAAATTTAATTTAATATTTAAAATAAAATTCAAACCTAACCCAAACCCAATTCAATACAAATTAAATTTTACCCAACCCAACCCAACTCAACCCAACCCAATCCAATCCAACCCAAGTATCCTAATTCAACCCAATCGGCCACAACCCTAATTAATCCCCCTTCCAACCCTAATTTCATAACTTTATTCATTTCCCTTCTTGTCCTCACTCACGCATGCAGCCACAACCCCTCACTCACTCTTGGTTTCAGCCACAACCCCTTCTTGCTGCTACAGATCTACTACAGCCTACAAGTCTGCTGTTGGAGCTGCTTGCTACCTCTGTGCCGGACCCTGTGCTTGCTGCCTCCTGTGCTTGCTGCCTTCTGTGCCAGACCCTCTGCTTGTTGCCTCCTGTGCTTGCTGCCTTCTGTGCCGGACTCAATCTGCTTGCTGCCTCCTGTGTTGGACCCTCTGCTTGCTGCCTCCTGTGCTTGATGCCTCCTGTGCCGGACCCTCTACTTGCTGCCTGTGCCGGACCCTCTGCTTGCTGCTTGTGCTGGACTCCCTCTCTGCTTGCTGCCTGTGCTGCATCCAACTGTAAGAAGTTTAATAATTTGATTATTGTTGAATTAACATAAAGAAAGTTTGAATTTTTTAGAATTTACTAGATTTAAAAGTGAATCTAACCATCTTTAGACAATCCTTTACAATAATTTTCTCCAGCATTGAATCTTAATTCTTTCATTATGTGAAACCAAACATCAAAACCACACACAAAACACACACAGCTACAGCTGAGATGTTCATCCTTTTTCCTCCTAATTTTACCAACACCCACAAGGACAGTACAGTTCATTTTGTCAATAAAATGCAATTCTACGTGACATCCATGCCCTTTCCTTTCTCCATTCTTCATTTGTAATCTGTTAAGCTGCTCTTAGCAGTTGAACTTTATGTTTTAATTGTCTCTGCAAGTTTTGTATTTCGAACTATTTTGTATGAAGACTATATTTTCTAATGATAAATAAATATTAACTGTTGGCTATAAAAAAAATTTTGTTTCAAAATATATACATACTTCTCATACAGAAAATCTAGACGACTTGAAACTAAAAAAATGTCCAGCAATCTAGTACAGATAAATTGCATCAATTAGACGTTTAATACTGTTTACCACCCCCTCCTTGAATTTTTTTTTTTTTAACAATTTGTAATTACTATTACTATCATTAAAGCTTGAGATTGGTGTTTTACAAAATTTGAATTTTGAATTTGAAAACTCTAAAGAGACAGTCATGAGCTTGTTGCTCAAGGATCGATTTATTTGTTTCTTTTTTTGGAAGGGAGGGGGGCAACAACATACTTCCAAGTTACCAAATGTTGATACATATATATAGCAGTTTTTAATCTAAAATCATCAAAACCCACAACCTCAACTTAGTTTCTTGGTCAGACCAACTAATAATATCAGGCTTCATGCTAGAACTCAATTCATAATTCATGGTTGCCTGCCATCAGCTTTGATAGAGCTTTTGTCGAAGCATATAAGGACAAAGGATCACCACTTGCCATCTGCTTAGTTAATTTTTTTACATAGTCATATACTGATATACATATAATATAGAAAAGTTTAAAGTTTATTTTATAATGACTTATTTGGTATGAAAATTTATTTTATATTTCCATGGAAAGGCATAATTGTTTTTTTAAAATTTATTTTTAGGTGGTATGACCTATTTTAATTTAAATTTTCATATTTGAAATAGGTTCTTTGGATGATATATGTTTCTTTACTCAAAATGAGGATGTGGATTGTGATGAAGACAATAATTCAGAGGTAAATATGCATGATCCTTTTTTATACTAATGATATAAATAGCTTTTTTATAAATATGTTAACATAAAGTATTTACTAATTGTATTTACTAATTGTATTGTAGGTCTTTCTATGAGCAATTGTGGATTTTGAGAGTTAAAGTGTTTTGAGTTGGTTCTTGGCTGCTTCTCTTCATGTTGAATATTGGTTTAGTTTAGTTATTTTATTTATGTTGGGTTGATTTTTGCTTATATTTAGAACAAGTATGTTACTTTATGTTGGATTAATTTCTATGTATATTTGGAATAACTTATGTTTGGAACAACTTATGTTTGGAACATGTTGCTTTATGTTGGATTAATCTCTATTTGAAACAATTTTATTGATTTAATTATTTGTGTTAAATTAATTTTTATTTATGTTTGATGAAAAAAATATATACTTTGTTATTAATTGGTGGGGAATGGGATCCTCGCAGGGATCCACATTCCCCACGGGGATCCCCGTCCCCGCGAAACGGGGAGGCACTCCCCGGCCCCGCGGGGCCCCGTTGACATCCCTAGTCCTGCACTTCCTTAGACTGTTCTACAGTAATCTTTTCCTCTCGTGTAGCCGCCGTTCTATTAGGGCCAACTTAACTACAACAACTGGCTCAAATTGTCTTTCTAGCAATACCATCATTAGCCAAACTAGTGATACTCCTTGAGCCTTTCACTCCAATACTACAATTTGAATTTAAACTCTTTGCCTCCTCCAACTCCAAGCCTTGAGCATCTCCCATGTCTTCTTGATCTCCAACTTCCTTGCAGGACAAGACTGAAAATCTGCCTTCATCACCGAAAAAAGACTGGCCTTCTGCAGAACTTGATTGCCCCCAGTAGTCACTACTGTGTTCCTTATCTATAGGATTGTTAATGATGTAATCTGACTTCATGGAGAAAATATTAAGTGGTGCCTCTTCCTCAACACACTTAATGTTATAAAACTCGCCATTAATTTTTACTTTCATGATCTTTGAAATCACCTCACTGTAAGATGTGGAGATTAGAACTCGGGCTACATCGAACCTCTTTGTCTGATATGTGCTATGATCCACGGATACAAAATTCCCCCACAACAAACTCAAATCATGGAAAAACTTTGAACCTCATGCACGAAGAGGAACCACCTGACACCATATCCATGCAAATCTTTCTCTAGCTACCATGTTTGGAGTCCGTGGCCCCATTTCATCAAACCATTGCCCCATCCATTCTCCTGCATTCTCTACTAGATACTTTAACTCATCCTTATCTTCACACTGTAGGAGCACAAGTTTGCCCCCCATTGAATTCAACGAGCACGAGAAACAACCTTCCATATAAAACCGATCTTGAAGGGATGGGATTATCTCCACTACCTTGGCAGTCCCTACAAAACACCCCTCCAACCAAGAGAAATCTGTTCCATCCACAATAAATTCTCATCCATTTTAGTCTAAGTGTCCTTGTTTAACTTTCCATGTTTTCATGCCCCCATTCTTAATGGCCTTCTGGTTCCTTGTTGTTTCAACCTAGGCTGCTTGTGTCGCCTTCGCCAATACCACATCAGCATATGACTTTGTACTAGCCCTATGTGATATCTGTCTGTTTCTTCTCCCATTCTCTGTTTTAACATTTGAGAATCTATCAAATCTTGGCTAGTTAACATAAAGCTTCTTGTTCCCAACTCTAATCTCATCAAGATCCCTTTCCAAAGCTTTTGGATTTCTCACCTCCTAGAAACGCACAAATCCAAACCTCCGTCCATATTTGTCCTTCCTATCTAGACAGTATATCTCCCACAACCGATCGAACTTGCTGAAAGTTCACCACATCTGCTCGTAGTTCCAGTCCTTAGGGAAATTTGTGAAAAAGAAAGGAACAGATTGCTTGTGAACTCCACAATCAACTCTTCTATCAAGTTGAAACTGACGACCTCTCCCTTGGTGTACTAATTGTTCTCCATTCCGTTCATACCGTTGCTCCTGTGATCTCCACTTGCCTCGGCTCCGACGATCTCTCTCTTGTCCTCTCATCCAAATCCTCATTTTGTCCATTATAAGTTATCAAATCTGGAAATCGCCTGTGTTTTAAGTAGAGGATTTGGTAGTCTTGCTCTAACTTTTGTTTATGAGAAGATGGAAGTGGATCAATAAACTGATTGGGATAAAAATGCAATGACCCCACTCTACTTGGTACAACTCGTTCTATTTTTGGCCTAAGAAGTCTATTGTGTCCTCTCTTCTTCTTTTTTTTTATCTTAGTTGTATAATATAAGGTAATTTTTTTTTTGTACTAACTTTTCAATATCCGATAAGGTCATTGGGTTCTAACTAATTTAGAGTCGAGTGACATCGGACCCCATAAGAGAAAAGCTCTCTTAGTACTTGTTCCTCCATTCATAAGATTCAAATTCAAAATTTTGTTTAAGGAGAATCAAGTTCCTTTTACTTGAACCAACAAATTGTTGGTATAGGAGGCAACTATTGCGTCTTTGTTTGCTCATTTTCCTGTAAAAATTTTAGGGCAATCAAAATTTTTATTAAAAAAATTTGTAAAAATTTTTATTGGATTTTTAAAATTTTAATTAAAATTTTTTAAAGAAAATAACTAACTTTAAGACTAAATTTAGTAATTTTAAAAAATAATGGTAAATAGAATCAAAATTTAAAAGACTTTATATTATTCAAATATTAAAAAAATAAATCTTATATTATTTAATGATTCATTCATTTTATTTGTTAAAACTATTGATATTATATACACCAATTAATTTAATATTGATCTTAAATTTTTATCATCAATTTTCATCTTCCCTGTCATTGCTTTATTATCAAGACAAAACTCTCAAATTTGCTACTCAAATAAAAAAGTAAAGATAAATTCACTTCTACAAAAAAAAAGATAAATTACTCTTTAAAATTATTGATAAAGACGAATCACATATTATTTAATATGTGATGTTATCACATGTTAGTTTTTTATTAAAAAAATAAATTTTTTTAAAATTATTAATTAAAATAAATCATATATTATTTAATATGTGATGTCATCACATATTAATTTTTTTATTAAAAAATACTTAAGTAGTAAATAAATTTTTAATGTGAAATGATATTACACGTTAAATAATAAATAATATTTCTTGATCTCACATGTTAATTTTTTGTTAAAAAATACTTCAATAATAAATAAAATTTTAATATGAAATAATATTACACGTTAAATAATAAATAATTTATCTTGATCGATAATTTTAAAAAATAATTTATTTTTAAAAATAAAAACAAATTTGTTTATGCCCTCTATTTGAGGTGGATTTGACAGTTCTAACATTTATCAACAGATTCCTCCATACATCTAAGCATTTGAAAAAATATTGTTGACAAGAAATTATCATTAGCTACCTCTCCTAATTCAGTGCTAATTTTGTCTGTTGCGTAGTCTCTAGTTTCTGAACGTTTCTAAAGAGTAAAGAAAGATAACATGAAATAATGAGGAATGTAATCAATTTATTATCTTGGATTATGTACTTACGTGTATAGGTCACCCTCTACTTTGATATTTGGTCAATTTACCTTCCATATATATATCTTTCCTCTTCCACGTAATGTCATCCATGTTCTTACTTCTAGATATAGACTGAATCATTTTACTTAAAAGATTAAGAGACGTGCTAGCACGTCTTTTTTATACTCTGCTTCGAACACTCTAATTTTTTTTTTTTTAATATTGACAAAAGGAAAATTTATATATATATCTTAAATCTTGGATTAAGTAGTGTATTGTCTCTATTTCCTAGTTATCCTATAAAAAATTTGTGTCTTCCGTTACAAATTACAGAAGCAATAAGCAGATTGCTGAATCAATTCTAGAATCCTATCCTTTAGGGGTGGGTTAAAAAATCTACAACCAAAAAAAAAAAAATTCTAAAAACTGATGAAACTATAATTAATAGATAAGGTTCAACTAGATTTTGAATTTGTTTGATTAAAAATCAAATTGAACCAATTTAAAATGGTTTGGGTTTTGGTTATTAAGTACAAAAATTAAAAAAACCAATGACTATGGTGAATATAACTGAAAAATCTCACCCAAACAATTTTATATAAATTTTTTAATGACTTCTAAATTTTTTTAAGGTTTTCTAATTATTTTTCACCAAGTTATTTATTTATTTGGATATTTTTAGTTTTTTTAATGATAGAAATTAATAAATAATAATTAAAGAAATAAAAAAATACTAAAAATATATAAAAATAATTTTTTGGTTAAAATCAAAACTAATCTAAATGGTTGCTCTTAAAAATACAACCAAAACCAATAAAAACTGTTTTTTTTAATTTGATTAATAATTACTAAAATTAAAAGCCTAACATTTTAATTAACCAATAATTCAATTTTAAGTATAACCAAAACTAAACTGTGCCCACCCCTACTCTCCTCCATGCTTATATTATCTATCAAATTAAATTTCTCATATCATCACCTGAGATACTTGGAAAACAATTTACACCGAAGAACTTTACTCACAGGGGCTAGTGAAGAATTTCAGTTATTTGTGAGCCTAAAATATTCCTTTCGCCATCTTTTTTTTTTTTTCTTTATCAACAGATTCCTTTCAGCCATCTTAGCATTGAGAAAAATATTGCTAATATTCCCAGCTAGCTCCCCTGATTCCTTACAAATTTTGAGATTCTAATTAGAAAACAATTAGGAAAATTAGATCAAGGAATATTGGAATATAATACAGCCTAATTAACAGAGAGAGAGCAATTCTTTAACAAAGTTGTTGACATTATAGAACTGATAACTGAAAAGAGCTGATTCTGTAAATATACATAGATTCAGCTGTAGAGGAAAACGGACTCTTTGAGATGGTACAAATGAGATTATATCAGTGGATTAGAAGCAGAACAAAATTATGGGTTTTTTCGTTAGTAGAGTGGCAGTCGAATTCGAGGGAATGCATCAAAGCCTTGCGACTACGACAGAATTGCTGGCGGAGGGGTTCTTTTTGAGTTCTAATGGGTGGTTTATCCTTTAATGTTTATACCTGGTTTGTGTTTCTAAGCAGCCTAAACTAGTAGAAGGAAGCAGTAAATGTATATAGGTTGTGAGTACCCCCTATTCTCCAGTTTAATAAAAAAATTTCTGTTCAAATAAAAGCATAAATTGTTCAAATTGAATATTCATTTAACAATATTTTGATCACTTCTTATTTATTACTTTATCTTAATTATATTCTTCTAAGTTCTACCATCTAGCCTTAGAAACGAGCAGAGGAAATCACAAAATAATCTAAGCCTAATTAATTTTTTCTATAAGACACTAATCTTGTCAAAGTGCGTCATAAATTGACTCAAGAAACATCTTAATCATAAAAGATAAAAAAAAAAAAAAAAATTCCAAATTCATGTTCCATGACCAAACCCACATATATATCCAAAATTAACAGAGCATACACGTCAAGGCATAATTTTTAATTCAAGTGTCTGATACAGCTTGATTTCATACACAACTAACCAGGAGTAGTACGTATTCCCTTATCTTGTGATTATCAGTGTGCAAATGTCATTTTTTCTTGCACTACACATAAGAATTAGATTAAGATTAACTACTTCAATATCCCTATCCAGATTTAGTGGAATGTATAATATCTTTGAAATGCAATCTACACGGGATTATGTCTCAAAATGGTGTAAAAGAAGCAGAGCAATTAATTACGCTATCCCTATCAGAATTCAGAATGTAGTGAAACATATACTTTGGCAGCTTCTTTTCCTTCTCTCAAGAAAAGAAACTGTTTTGATACTTCATCTCAGGCACACGAAATGCAAGTTTAAGCTAATCAAGATAATATGGGTGGATAGGAAATAATATCGTTATCCACCTGACCCCAAGACTACCTAATTAAAAATTCTATGTTTGAATTGGTAGTAGGTGATCACCATATTCACACTTTAGTGTACTTGTTTCTTGTATTGGAAAATGCACTTAATAAGAAAAATGATTAACATATAATTTTATCTTATAAAAGAATCTCATAATCTTATGTGGCTAATTATAATATTTTTCTTATATAATGAAATATGTTAATCCACATTTATACATTTACTTATTTAATATTATATGACTATTTTAAAACTTCATTATAAAATTTGTATGTAAATGAGTTTTTCATATATATATACATATATATATATATATATAAATGAGTTTTTCATATATATATACATATATATATATATATTCATTCGTGAGATTGTAATAAAAAATGGACAAAATTAATTAAACCCCTAGTATTAGACGACCAATTTTTAATATATATGCATTGGATTACAGGGTGCAAACAGACTATATATACTAGCAATCTTTACCTCTAGCTAATCCATCATCTTCCACTGATTAATTCTCATTCTACTGCTTCACTTGATTTTAGTGTGATATCAAAACATGAAGATTGATATCGAAGTGATCTCCAAAGAAACCATAACACCATCTTCTCCGACCCCCGCTGACCTTCGTCACTACCACCTCTCTTATCTTGATCAAATCCAACCCCCAATTTTCATGCCTTTGGTTATGTTCTATCCAAGCGAGACCAACACCAATGGTGTAGAACAGGCTGAGAAGATAAAGAAATCTTTGTCCGAAGCTTTAACTATTTTTTATCCGTTAGCAGGACGGATCAAGGTTGACAATGCCTACGTCGACTGCAACGACGAAGGTCTCTACTTTGTTGAAGCCAAGGCTAATTGCTACCTTTCTGATATCCTAGACCGAAGAGATCCAGGGGACAACAATAGCTTCATTCCTTTCGAGTTGGATGATGGTGCTGACACCTTACCGGCCATGGTGCAAATCACCTTCTTCAAGTGCGGTGGATTAGCTGTCCTCATTGGCATGTCACATAAGGTTGGTGATGCCTCTTCGTTAATCATGTTCCTCAATTGCTGGGCGGCAATAGCACGCGGCGCCAATGCTGAGATAGTAGCTCCTCGATTTGAGGCTGCCACCCTGTTTCCTCCAAAAGATATATCTGGGTTTCAGCCGAGAACTGGGATCATAAAAGAGAATATTGCGACGAAGAGGTTTGTGTTCGATGCATCTGCTGTTGCAAATCTAAGAGAGAAATACACCGTAGATGGGGGACGTTCGACTCGGGTGGAGGCTTTATCCGCCTTCATATGGAGCCGTTTCATGGCTGCTACGAAGGCAGAAACTGACGAGCAGTCCGGAGAGTTCTACACCGTTGTTCAGGCAGTGAACCTACGTACTCGGATGGATCCGCCGTTGTCGAATCACTACTTCGGAAACATCATACGAGCAGTGTTCACAAAGCCTTGTGCAGCTAATGAATATGGACCTCATGAAATTGTCAACCAAATAAGGGATGCAATATGCAAAGTGAACGCAGAGTACGTGAAGAAACTCCAGGAAACCGACGGACACTTGGAGTTCATGAAAAAGGCAGCTGCAAGTTACTTGAAAGGGGAGATGGTGAGTTTTGCCTTTACCAGTTTGTGCAGGTTCCCTGTATACGAAACCGATTTTGGGTGGGGAAAGCCTGTGTGGGTTGGGTCTGCTCGGATGACATTTAAGAATTTGGTTACATTCTTTGACACCAAAAGTGGCGATGGGATAGAGGTATGGATAAACTTGAAGGAGGAAGACATGGCCAAGTTTGAGGCTGACGAGGAGTTGATTGCGTATGTTTCCCCATCCCCAAACGCCTAAGTTACTGCCCAAAAGAAATATATTCTCTTATAATATGTTTTCAAAAGTAAAAATCAGTATGTCTTACTCCAACCAAATTATGTATATTGGAGATGAGATTTACACTACATCTCATCAATCATAATATATAAGATTTAAATAAAATTGACCTATATTTTAATTATAATCAAATGCTTTCACATTTTGAATATTGATACAATCTTAATTCTTTATAATCTCATATGTTTTATTATTGTCATCAATAAAATTTGTTCTTTACCATTTTATTTTATTTTATTTTTAGCATTTCTATATCTCAATTGTGTGTGTTAATAAGTTTGAATATCCATATGAAAAGAAAGAAAATAATGTCGATATGATTTTCATTTATTTTTTTTTACATTAGTTGCATAATGAGATGTAATCCTTTTTTATTTTTAATTAATTATTTTACCTTACCCACATATTATGTAATTTGAATTTAATAGCTCTTATTTTTATTGAAAAGAGATTACTATTGAACTATTTAGGTTATTAACGATATGATTTCCACTATTGTTTGGCTGCTTTTGCATATAGGAGATATGGACAACATTTTACAAGTTGATAATTAATTGTTCAACATTTTTTCCTGATCCCAGACCATTGACCACTTCCTGAACTGTTTGACTTGGGCCGATCCCGAATTGGAACTGGACCTGATTGAGGCTGCCCTGTTGGCCATTAATTATGAGTTCGTTTGGTAGATTTTTTTTTTTTTTGCTTATATTACTCTTTTTTATCTTAAAATGATTATTTTTTTTATTTTGAATTTATTTTAAATTAATTATTTTTTTTAAATTTTTTTATTTTTT